GAACACCAACAGTGTCCTCATAAACAGTTAGGTCTGGTCTTTGCTCCGAACTATCATTCTTTCTGTCTTAATCCTCAACTCAAACCCTGATAAATTATTTTCTCAAGCATTTTAGTCTTTTTAAAGGAATACCCTGTTTTCACTTTTTGTGCCCAGAAAACAGTAGCTAAATCATTTGTCAGAGAAGGTATTTCAGTTCTGCAAATATTTTCTTTATGATAAGACTGCAACCCTTCTTCTCCAATATGGGATTCCCAGTCACGTTTGTCACATCCAACTTTGCATACTTAGGGCTTTTACATTCTCAAAGCAAAAAAAAGATGTTTCAGAACAGAACCTGGTCCTCCTGTCTCCCCATCACTGTGTTTTGACCCAAAGCTCTCTATACCTTGTAATACACCATCCCAAAACACCATGCCCATCAGATGTTCTTCATTTCTCCGTCCCCAAAAGCCCCAAACTCTCATCTCGGAGCCTTTCACACCCCTGTATACTGCAATGAACCTTTCCTTTTCCTGTGCAGCCCCCAATGCTTTTGCACATCAAAATAAAGATCATAAAAATCATTTACCAGACCGAGATCTCATTCAACAAAAATTCACAGCGGGTCTCCACTGGGAGAAAAGTAAGATGTGCTATGGAAAAGACAATGCTCTAAATATGTGAACATATTCAATACAATATTCCCAATTAGTATTGCTGTATTCTTTCATCAACTTCTAGCTCAAAATGGCAGCAGTCTGACAAACTGAGGTTTCCAAACAACTCTAAATCTAAAGAGCACTGAAATGGAGCAAACTTCATTTTCGTGCTCTGGGTCTTGCATGTACTCTCTCTTCCTTGTAGATCAAGCTGTCTTCTACACAAGCTCCTAAAATAGGCACATAGTCTATCACGCTTACCAATCTATAGAGTGCTAAAGTTGTGAGTTCTCTGGATAACCTTTTCATAATAGAGCCACCAATTTAGTCAAATTTCGCTGACACATTTGAAAAGTGCTCTAAAGACAAGCAACTGATTGGATAGAATGCAAATTAACATTAGCATGACAGAAAGTTCTTAGCACTGAATATCCATATGATGGCAAATTTTAAAAGGGATTTGTAGCACTTTTGCTTTTGAAGATGTGTTATAAAACCCAATAAATGTGTGTTTTTTCTGCTAAGGCATTTAAACATAGCTTAAGGCATGCACTAGTTCCTCAGGAAAGCTGTAGCTAGCACAACCCTCTCTGGAAGACTGCCTTAATAATTAGGGTAAGCAGAGACAAAGAGAGTACAGTACAACAGGCTAGTCATCTGTATATTTAATGTAAGTAGCAGAAGATTTCTGTTCTATCCCTTCTGTTCATTTTACTCATTTCAGTGGATAGTTGTAAACATTAACAGTAGAAACTGTCTTCCTGGTTGACTAACCAGGAAAAGCTGAACAGGAAACATAAGTAAGTGGCACAAAACCCACCACACCTACGTTGCAACTCCATTTGTTGACCATGGTAGAGTGTAGTAAAGGTTTAAATACAGACTTTTATTATTAAAAGCTGAAAAATAATGACTTTCAAATCTGAGTTGGTTTTGTTTTGTTTTTTTAAGTACACCAACAGTCTTTAAGGTTTGGGGTTTTTTTGCATGTTTTGTTTTTCTCTTTATTGGTATGAAAAATTACCTCCTCTTTCAGCGCATGTTTCTTCTGCTCCAAACAGATTTCTTTAGCACGCATCAACTGCAAAGTCTCCTTAGAAACTGCATACTGAAGCTTTTCCATACGTTCCACTGCTGCTGCCCATGCTGCCTTACCAAATTTTTTCTGGTCTGCTCGCATTCGATCGTACACAGCTACAGAAGGGAAGAAAAGGCGGACAGTTTACCAGCCTACTCTTCAGATCACTAGTGATTCTACTGCAGAAACTATGTACACATCTGTACCCAAAAGCACACAAAGTTCTCTTAGCAGGGAGTAGCTATTCTACAGAGTACTAACATTCAAATCCAGGATGTAAGTACTCTTAAGATTCATGTAAATATGCAATTAGCTATTTGTTGATTGCTTTATCATTATAATTCCAATTTTTGTTATTCACAGAGGGACCATTCCAAATACACAGTATCTGAACACCTGAACCACTGGTTCAGAATTCTTAATAAAAATATGTCATTAATGCTACCATGTGGTCTTAAACTGCATCTCAAATTTTCCCTGCTTGTGAAAGCACCAATTATCAGGTACTAAAGTCTCCAGTTTCCCTTACCTTCTACAGTGCAGTCTTAAGTTTAAAGAAATCTACAGAGTGAAAAAAAATTACAATTTAAAACAAAAATTTCAGCTTGACCTCAAGTGCAACTCTGTAAGAACACCAAATTAAATTTAAGTATTTATCTTTTAACTCAAAATGCAGGTTGCTTCACAAAATTACTTCAAATTAATTAAACAAATTATAATCTGATCTTAGTATGTAGATAAAAGTGAGAATCTTTTCAGGAAGACTTCAGAGTAGCAGGAGTCCCTTGTCCAATTGACATTTTCTGTTATTGAGACTCAGACAACACCTAGACTGACACATATGAGATTTTCACCATTTTTAATATACAGAACAATCACACGATACTGTACCCTTAGCCTTGCAAAGTAAAAGCCGTGAAAGACACACAATCAAAGGGGTAGTGTTCAGTTTGCAGGTGCTAGAAGATTTTACATGCTGTTGTAGGTAATACAAAAATATCTCTACGTTCTTATGTGTTTTTCCTCTGCCATTTGTTAGTATTTTTGGTATGTAAGACCACCCTATGATCAGCAGGAGGCTAAAAAAAATCCTAAATGTAATAAAACAGGCAAGCAACCTGTATACGAAATGTCTATGGTTGTAAACGCTCTGAGGCATTTCATTTCCCAGTGTTTTTCCCCACAATTCTGACTGCTGTACAGAAAAAAAGCATGTGAACAAAACAAAAATTAAGTAACTGTGAATACACGTTCTTTATCAACTGAGTATTTAAATTTGCTGCCTTTGTAATACCAGAAAAGGAACCAAACTGGTTAAATACATTTAGAATTTGCTCTAATTAAATTCATTCCAACATGCTTCAACTGGCTTAGTCACTTTTGCAAAATAAGGTGGAGTTTCATGTTATCCTTAACTCAGGTTGTCACTGAAAGCAATAATTTTGCAGTGACTGTTTCTCTTGAGGCAGATCTAGCAGTCATGCAGGCAGATGATGGGAAACCTACCCATCAAAAAAGATTTTTCTCCCAGGGGTACAGCTGATTTATCTGGTTGCACAATCACTATCACCAAGGCAAAGAAAGAAACAGGAACCTGCAGTCAGGCAGGGAAGACAGTGGGACATAAACTCTGTCAGTGGTAGCCCACAGTCAAACTAAAAGAGGTGACATGAAACCACATCCTCAGGTGTGTTTACCCTAATAAACTGATTATTTAAGTTAAAATGGTACAAGGATGAGTGTGCAGATGTACATGGCGAGTCACATGACCTGGTTTTACTGCACCAATTCTTTAGTAAAAAAGCCACATTCTTCAAGCATAGAACAACAAAGCAGCTTTCACCGAGTAGTTAAATTGAGCTGTTGCTTAATATTGAGAGCTATGAAAAAAATTACTGAAAGGCAGGGAAGACAGGAAAAGGAAATTAATTCAAAGGCAATAAACACTTACCACGGTGGTCTGCCATATCCAGTACAGAAGGCAGAATCTCTCAGGGACTCTACGCTCCCTCAATTCTTTGCAAATGTACAGTGCAACCAATATAATGACATTGAAAAAGTGGCTGTGAAATTTTTATCTAAAATTTCTACTCTGCCTGCTTCTGATGATACTCTGAAAAGGCTTACTGGTGAAAGAATCAAAGAGACACAGATGAAAAAACAAATGGGAATGACAGCTGCATTCTCCTCATGGAGGACTTAAAAAAAAATAAATCACAGTGCAATACAGAACATTGTAAACATTAAATAATTTTTTAAAGATCTTTTATTTGACAGATAGGATAGTAGAAAATAACTACCTTTCTGTGTTTTAGCTGTTATTTCAAAGTATTTAACTGTAAGATCTTGAATAGAAAGCACAGCCATGTGGGCTTTTCTCTGCCAATCAGCATCTTCTTTTTTCAGACTCTCAATTCTTCTGGGGCCTAGGTAGTCATTCTCTATTGAGATCTGAAAATAAATCAGTTCATAATTAACAACACAATTAATTGTTGCTATTTTGCCAACAGCAACCAGTTTCAGGGTGGCTAAGAAAGAAACAAAAACAAAAAGAAGACAAAACTACCAGAAAATCACAATGGCTTCTATTGAACAGAAAACAACTCTTTGAAGTACTCCTTTCTGTTGAAAATGTACATCCACAATTTCATTATTATTCTTATTGGAAGCACAAAAAACTCAAATGTAAATCTGATTTGTCAGTATCTTTTTGCTAAATATCTTACTACCTTCAGATAACAAGCATGCTTTATCCAGGCTTTCTGCCAGCCTGGAATATTTCATTCTGAAGTAAATGAATGCTCTTCAGTCAGAACGAAGGTGGAAACAGGGGATGTGGTAGTGGTAAGTAACCATCAACATTTTAGAAGTTTTTCTTTCTTACAGATGGCTTTTAAAAACATATTTTCCCAGTGCCTGGGATTTCAAATATTTTTTCATTGCCAAGATCAAGGTAATTTTATTTTGAAGTGACAACTATCTGAAGCCAGTAAAAGATCTAGTGTTTCTTTCAAAAATTAATAGAAGTATAGCTTTCCCTTCCAAAACTAAAAATTTTTACACATTTTTAAAAAGTTATTTAGTAGTCCCACTACAGACAACAGACTATACATCTAAGTAACTGAATATTTAAGCCTTCTCCTGCAACATCAAAGCCTTAATTTTGAATATTTTCCATTTGCATCAGTCAAGAAAACACCTCACTAGTATAGACAAACACCCCCCCAAATCCCAAAGTGCTCATAATCTTTTAAGTCCCCAGATATTTTAACCTGAAGTTCTAATGTCTCAAACACTAATCTTGATTTCACAAAACACTCATCTTGACTTCTGGGCTCAAAGCGCGCCATTCCACTCTCTAGTTGAACTGCAAATGACAGGTTTTTAAGTGACTGTTCAGGATCTACCTCTGCATATCCACTTAACCCATCTCTTAGAGGGATGATTTTTACAACTAAAAATTTATAGATTCCTTCTAAGTAATTTTTCATTTCTTGAAAAATGTTGAAAGTAGTTTAACAAGGTATTTAATCTACATCTTATATATTTCCAAAACTGTTAGAAAGGCAACAGGCAAAATAAAAATGTGGACAAACGATAAGTGACTAATAATTTTACTAGATAGGTTGTAACATGTAATTTGATGGAGGACATATGTACCATGATTCCCACAGGGAATGGTTATGAGTGGACAGACAAGAGTTTCCAAATAAATCCCGAATGGTATGTATATACCAGTGAATGATGGCTGGTGAAGTTAATGCTTTCCATTTACGCAGAACTGTGAAACAGCAAGTTCCTTTCAGAAGCAGGATAAAAACCCAGTACAGTATAGAAGTCTTCCTTTTTTATTCCTTTGTAAAGATGAGGTAATTTGATACTGGAATTGACATAGGATGACTGAGTAATGTGAGTAACGTTCTTGTTAGACCTCATTTCTAAGACATTAAGAAGCCTCAAAGTAACATTTCTTCATAAAGTTTTGCCTGCCAAAATATTATTCACACATGGAGCAAGCTAAGGAGATTTATGACGGCATAATACAATTCTATCTTTGTTCCCTAGAGTAAGTATTTACAAGTAACAAGAAAGGGAAGCACCTTTTCATTAAGTGCAATCCCAAGTATGTCATCCATGCCACCATTCACACTGAGGGTATTCATACAGCAAGCCATAGAAAACCCAGGAAGCCTTTGCTTTAGCAATATCCATACAAGTATGCATATTTATGTGCAACCATAAGCAGATGGTCATGATCCTGCAAAGCTTTAGAAACTGGGGGAACAAGGAAGAAGACAGGGTTGTAAACATTTATGAGGATGGACTGGTTCAACCTGGTACAGTTACTGATACATACCTTCCATTTCCCTTTATGCATCTGTTCCTATACACATTCATATTTAAAAGACACCGAGCAGCATACTCCACAAATGACTACTGTCTGGAAGGAGGTCCCCAAATAGTTGCACAAAAAAGAACAGACCAACTTGAAGCCTTAAGGCTGCAGCAACTGTGGCATGCTCAGCAAAAGTCTGATAAGAGCCCCAGAAAGATGCACAGTACAGAAGCATTCCTTTCCCTAACGCTGCTTGAGCTGATCTGCCCTGATGCTTAGCAGTCTTATAGCCTATACCTACACTGCTAGTTATCCAGCAAGACAGTTGAACTCTTACGAGTGATTTGCCATGAAAATGAAGAAATAAAGATTCTTCTTGAAGTGTCTTGTAGAACAATCAAAAGACCAAGGTACAGCTAATGTTCACGTTTGGACATTGCATTGTGCAGCCTGAATAAGGGACACACACACAATGTTAACCTTCTGGCTCTGAAACCATGAAATGATGGAGGAGGGATGTCCTGGTTTTGGCTGGGATAGAGATAATTTTCTTCTTAGTAGCTGGGCTGGAGCTATGTTTTGGATTTGTGTTGCAAACAGCGTTGCTAATACATGGATATTTCAGTCAGTTGCTGAGCGGTGCTTACACAGTCAAGGCCTCTTCTCCTCCTCACCCCACCCCATCAGCAAGGAGGCTGGGGGTGCACAAGAAGTTGGGAGAGGACACAGCTGGGACAGCTGAACTCAACCAACAAAAGGGATATTCCATACCACATGACATCATGCTCAGCAATAAAAGCAGGAGGAAGAAAAAGGAAGGGGTGACATTCAGAGTGATGTCGCCTGTCTTCCCAAGTAACCATTACATGTGATGGAGCCCTGCTTTCCTGGAGATAGATGGCTGAACACCTGCCTGCTGATGGGAAGCAGTGAATGAATTCCTTGTTTTGTTTTGCTTGTGTGTGCAGCTTTTGTTTCACCTATTAAACTGTCCTTATCTCCAACCCACAAGTTTTCTCACTTTTACCCTTCCAGGTAAGCTTCCACTCGCAGGGAGTGAGTGAGCAGCTGTGTGGTGCTTAGTTGCTGGCCAGGGTTAAATCACAACAAGGGAGGAGGCTCTCATTGTGCCAGTGGGAAACAGTATTCAACACTGAAAAACCTCAGCTGCTTCCTTAAGAAAGGTGGCTAGCTAGGAGCTGAGGATGAACCTTAAGCTGAAAAGATTGCTCCCTTCACGTTCAAAGGTGTTGGAGCAGAGTACACTGCTTGTTCCAATAACCATTTAAACAGCTATGCCAGCCAGATGCAACAAGGTGACAAATGCAGAATAAGAAAGTTCAAGAATAAGCCAGAGTTCCAAATGCTCAGAAGATCCAGGCTCACGGGCTGATTCCTAGATAACAGTGCTCAGTCACAGAGATCTTTATTACTCTTTGTATAGTCTAGTTCAGTTCAGGAAAACACACTGTGGCCACTTGCTGCCAGCAGAAGGCATCTCAGACCATCCTGGGGCAGTACGAGTCAAACAAATCAAAAAAACATTTGAAGTTAACTACTTTTCAGCATGCCAGGAGCTTGGCATTGCATATTACAAACATGAATAGTCTTTTACCTATAGTATCAAGAGATAGTCTCATGCAAGGGGGAAGGAGAAAAATCAAGTTGCTTTAATATTTCACTTCATGAGAGGATCTAATTTTGAGAAAAGCAGACTTGTCAGAAGGAGACTCCAGAAAGGTATTCAATGAACACAGTCTGCACTGTGTCCTTGAAGACAGTCCCTGCTTCCCAGCTTTGTTTCTATTACGTCAATAACTTTATGAGTGGCAGCAAGCCTTAAGAGTCCCCTGTGGTACCCTGGAAGTTGCAGTTTCTGGGGTCTAGCTATCTGCTGCTTCCTGCTTCTCCCAGCAGACTTGCTGTGTTCCTGCCCACGCTTTCTTTCCTGGGCTTGCCTGATATACACACCCTGTGGCCTCTGAAAGCCTCTCCATTGACCTGAATGTGCTCCAGCGCTCCTCGTGGGAAAAGCAATCTCTTCCCATCCAGCCAGTGTGTTCCAGCCGATTCAATTTCTCTACCAATAAACGTAACAAATTAAAATAGAGTTATTAAAAAAAAAATACCAGTGTAAAAGAAAATACTGTTAGCAACCTTTCCAAAGGTAATTACTGGCATTCTTTACAATCAAAACCAAGCAACTGTGACAAACTAAAAGACAGAGGGCATGCAAATGGTTACTTTTGGCCATGTTCCTGGCCAAAATAATCAACCACACATGGACCATTAAAAAACAACATGTACACGCTCATGAGTTTTGAAGACTTTGTTTTCTATATTCTCTTCAATAATTATTCACCTTGATGTAAGACAATAACTCCCATTATGGAATTAAAGGAAGCTCTTATTTGCTCCTGCATTCCATTACCATTTGCAACACATGCATAGCATGTTTATGCATAATTTTGCTCACTGCACAGCTTTATGATGCCAGCATCTTGTTTTTATAGCCCATAAAAGAGCACAGGTCATTTCATAGACTAAACAGACACATGTTTTTTAAATTACTATTGTCCATGCTAGGTATGACTAAGAGAAAGCACCAAAGAATTGAACGGGACAAAGTGAGGAAAAAGAACATACGAAGTGCTGTCATCTAATTGACACTTCTTTTAAACATATGTATCTATTTTTCAGACAGTAAAAATTTATTTTAAAGATTAAGAAACTCTGATATAATTGATATAGTTCTAATCTAAAAAGCTTTTCAGTTCACTAACATTTTCTCAAATTCACTTTTTGGTCTGTAAGTCCTTCATGTGGACTCAAAGTTCTGGAGAAAGTACAGTCTAACAGAAAAACCTCTCATCTCACAACTCGACCACACAGTCAAGTCTACATGTAATTGTATGAAATTCAACAAGACCAAGTGCCGGGTCCTGCACTTTGGTCACAACAACCCCATGCAATGCTACAGGCTTGGGGAAGAGTGGCTGGAAAGTTGCCTGGCAGAAAAGGACCTGGGGGTGTTGGCTGACAGTCAGTTGAATATGAGCCAACAGTGTGCCCAGGTGGCCAAGAAAGCCAATGGCATCCTGGCCTGTATCAGGAA